CGCCAGAGAGCCCCTACGGAGAGGATCGTGGGGAAAATACGCTTTTTCCCGGAACGACGTCGTAACGGCGACGCGGCGGACCGTTTCGCGCCTCGGCGCGGCGAGGGGCGGTGTAGATCTGTATTCTCGCGACGCGCACGCCAGGACGTACGCCCCGTCCACGTGGGCCACGCGTCCCTTTCGTTGCGCGGGCGTCGGCGCGCTCCTCGCGGAGCGGCAGAACGCGGTGCGGAGCTTTACGAGTCGCCCCCCTAGCGGAGGTCGCGGGGGCCGCGCCAGAAGGTGAAGACGTGGCGGAAGACATCCTCGGGCACCTCGAAGAAGAGGCGCTCGTGCAGGGAGGGGGTCGGCGGGAACGCGCGGCGGAACAGGAGGCGGCGGAAGGCCAGGAGGCGCCGGCGGAAGCCGAGGAGCTCCTGGCGGGGCAGGTCGACGTACGCCCGCCAGCTGCCGGCCGCGCGCATGGCGCGGAGCAGCCGGTAGCACCGCATTGGCATCGACCGCGGCCGCGCGAGGTCGACGGCGTCGACGTCCGCGCCGCGGCTCAGGAGCACGCGCGCAATGGCCGGTCTGTCGAGGAAGAGGCAGACCTCCAGAGGGGTGTAGCCGCCGTCCCGGAGCTCGATGTCCGCGCCCGCGTCGAGGAGCATCTCGGCGATGTCCGCGCGCCGGCAGTACGTGAGCGCGTGGCGCAGGCGCGGCGGATAGCCCACGACGAAGGCGTGCGCCGCGCCCGCGGCGAGGAGCAGCGACACGGCCCGCGCGTAGTTGTAGTGCAACGCTTGCCTGAGCAGACGGTCGAGCGTCGACGCGCCGACGAAGTCCAGCCAGTTCTGCGTGTCGAGTCGATCGTAGTGCTCCTCGAAGTGCTCGCGAAGCAATCGATGTTCGTCGGCTTCTTCGGCGGCGGACAGGGCCGGGAACGCCGGCGCGGTCTCGAACCACTCGCCCTGGTAGTAGAACTCATAGGAGACCTCGTCATAAAGCGGCGGCACGTCGGCCATGCTTTTAGACTTGGAAGCGGCACGGCCGGCTCCTTGGGGTACCTTGAAGGCCTCCTTGAAGGCGGCCTCTCCGCGGCGGCCTCGCGCGACTACGCACTGACTAGGCGCCCTTACGTTACTCAACTAACCTACCGTGGCGTAGCTAAACTACCGTCGAGGATGTCGCTCATCATGCGCTGGCGCAAGTGGGGGATGTCGGCCTGGCTGAAGTTGAGCGGCAGGCCGAGGGACAAGTAGTTCGCGTAGAACGCGACGAACACCCCGCAGCTGTTGGCGTCCCTCTGGACGGGTGTCACCGACAGCGTGTCGACGAACGTGAACTCGTCGGGGAGGGGCACGCCCTTCTCGGCCTCGTGCTCGTCGCGGAGGTA